AATAATATATTTAAGCATTCTGAAAGTGATCTGAGGTCCAGGCAGTAATGCAATTGGGTTCACATGAGAAGGATATAGAGTTCATGTCCTAGGACCTCCCTGTACACACTGGACATGCACGCATATACCACGATTCAGGCCAAGAGACCCTGGGGTGTGAATCATGGGGTGGGAACCCTGTTAGGGGTGCTTCTCTCTCTTGCTCTCTCGCTCTTTCTCTCTAAGGAAGAAATAAGTAAATAAACATAAAAAGCAAGGTAGAAAAAAGGAAATTACTTACAGAAGAGACTCTGAAAATGTCTGTTTGTCCAAATGGCTATATAGGGATCAGAGTTGAGGAATCTATGCCAGTGTTCCCAAGACACCCAAGGGGCGTCACGGGCGGAAATTTTCTACCTTGGATTCGTCACCAATTATATGACTTTGGTCAAGAAACTATCCGATTCTTTTTTTTTTTTTTTTTTCTTGTTTTTTTTTAGAGGTTTTTGCTATAGGGCACATGCGCCAGAAAGACAGAGAGAGATAGAGAGCCAGAAAGCGAGAAATCACCCCCCAGGGAGGATGACCATGCCGCAATCCCTTCTCTTCCATTTTCCTTTTGGGATCTTGGGCACGCATACACACACGCCCAGCATGAGTTTAAGCCACCGGGTCGCTCGCCAGACAGACAGAGAGAGACATAGAGACAGAAAGTGAGAAATCACCCCCCAGGGGGGATGGCCGCGGCGCAATCCCTTCTCCCCCATTCTCCTCTCGGGATCTTGGGCATGCATGCACATGCACCCAGCGTGAGTTTAAGCCACCGGGTCCGGGACTCAAACCGTGGTCGACTACATGGGAGTCCAGCGACATAGCCATTATGCTAACTGCTGGTCTCGCACCAGTATGACTTCAGGCCACCAAGTCCAGCACTCAAACTGCAGTGGGTCGTGCCATGTGGGAGTCCAGCCCCTTAACTACCATACCACCTGCTGGCCCCTCATTACATGATAGTTTTAACAATTCTAACAGGGAGGTCATTAGAAGAGATGTCCCCAGTGGTTTAGGTTTTTACATAAGCAAACCAGTACCTAATGTAAATAGTAAAACAAAACTAGACACTTTACCAATCAGAAATCAACAACTAACCTCTGAGAAGGACCTTTTCAATCTAAGCCAAAGTATATTTTCTCTTTTTTTTTCTTTTCTATTTTACTATGGAGTATGTACATTTGCTCGAGAGAGATAGAGGTGAGGGTGAGAAAGCATCAAGCATGTGGGATCCAGCTGCCTTAACCACCATACCACCAACTGGCCCCAGGTACATATTCTTCGTCTTCCCTCTATGCAAAAGTTTTCTACCTTGTGCAGTAGAGAACTCTGTAAACTCTTTTGACTTTGAGTGCTTTCTGATTCATGGGCCATTCTTTGCTCAAATAAACTCTAATTTGTCTGAAGCTTTTCTTTTAACAGATTGGGTAACAAAAGTGGAACCCAGAGGAGCTCTCTGGCTATGAACACCAAGTGACAGCCAAGCTACCCATGAAGTCCATTGTCCTCCCTACTTTCTTGATTGTGACTAGAGACCATCGTGAGTTTCCCTCTCAAATTGAGTTCCACAGATTGTGCTCTCTCCTTAACCAGTGCATGCGCCCTTTAGCAAAATTATTTTTTAAAAAAGTATTGGACCCATGGGAACCAGCAGTTAGCGTAATGGCTATGTCGCTGGACTCCCATGTAGTCGACCGTGGTTCGTGTCCCGGACCCGGTGGCTTAAAAAACTCACGCCGGGCGCGTGTGCGTGCGTGCCCAAGATCCCGAGAGGAGAACGGAGGAGAAGGGATTGCGGCGTGACCATCCCCCCTGGGGGGTGATTTCTCGCTTTCTGTCTCTATGTCTCTCTCTGTCTGTCTGGCGATTTCATACGTTTGCCTAAAAACACATTTATCCCTCCAATGTCAGTGTTTAACAATTAATACTTTAAAGTATATTCCATAAAACAACGCTTTAAAACTTATAAAAATAATATATTTAAGCATTCTGAAAGTGATCTGAGGTCCAGGCAGTAATGCAATTGGGTTCACATGAGAAGGATATAGAGTTCATGTCCTAGGACCTCCCTGTACACACTGGACATGCACGCATATACCACGATTCAGGCCAAGAGACCCTGGGGTGTGAATCATGGGGTGGGAACCCTGTTAGGGGTGCTTCTCTCTCTTGCTCTCTCGCTCTTTCTCTCTAAGGAAGAAATAAGTAAATAAACATAAAAAGCAAGGTAGAAAAAAGGAAATTACTTACAGAAGAGACTCTGAAAATGTCTGTTTGTCCAAATGGCTATATAGGGATCAGAGTTGAGGAATCTATGCCAGTGTTCCCAAGACACCCAAGGGGCGTCACGGGCGGAAATTTTCTACCTTGGATTCGTCACCAATTATATGACTTTGGCCAAGAACCTCGCCAAAAAATTTTGGTCAAGAAACTATCCGATTTTTTTTTTTTTTTTTTTCTTGTTTTTTTTTAGAGGTTTTTGCTATAGGGCACATGCGCCAGAAAGACAGAGAGAGATAGAGAGCCAGAAAGCGAGAAATCACCCCCCAGGGAGGATGACCATGCCGCAATCCCTTCTCTTCCATTTTCCTTTTGGGATCTTGGGCACGCATACACACACGCCCAGCATGAGTTTAAGCCACCGGGTCGCTCGCCAGACAGACAGAGAGAGACATAGAGACAGAAAGTGAGAAATCACCCCCCAGGGGGGATGGCCGCGGCGCAATCCCTTCTCCCCCATTCTCCTCTCGGGATCTTGGGCACGCATACACACACGCCCAGCATGAGTTTAAGCCACCGGGTCGCTCGCCAGACCGACAGAGAGAGACAGTATGACTTCAGGCCACCAAGTCCAGCACTCAAACTGCAGTGGGTCGTGCCATGTGGGAGTCCAGCCCCTTAACTACCATACCACCTGCTGGCCCCTCATTACATGATAGTTTTAACAATTCTAACAGGGAGGTCATTAGAAGAGATGTCCCCAGTGGTTTAGGTTTTTACATAAGCAAACCAGTACCTAATGTAAATAGTAAAACAAAACTAGACACTTTACCAATCAGAAATCAACAACTAACCTCTGAGAAGGACCTTTTCAATCTAAGCCAAAGTATATTTTCTCTTTTTTTTTCTTTTCTATTTTACTATGGAGTATGTACATTTGCTCGAGAGAGATAGAGGTGAGGGTGAGAAAGCATCAAGCATGTGGGATCCAGCTGCCTTAACCACCATACCACCAACTGGCCCCAGGTACATATTCTTCGTCTTCCCTCTATGCAAAAGTTTTCTACCTTGTGCAGTAGAGAACTCTGTAAACTCTTTTGACTTTGAGTGCTTTCTGATTCATGGGCCATTCTTTGCTCAAATAAACTCTAATTTGTCTGAAGCTTTTCTTTTAACAGATTGGGTAACAAAAGTGGAACCCAGAGGAGCTCTCTGGCTATGAACACCAAGTGACAGGCAAGCTACCCATGAAGTCCATTGTCCTCCCTACTTTCTTGATTGTGACTAGAGACCATCGTGAGTTTCCCTCTCAAATTGAGTTCCACAGATTGTGCTCTCTCCTTAACCAGTGCATGCGCCCTTTAGCAAAATTATTTTTTAAAAAAGTATTGGACCCATGGGAACCAGCAGTTAGCGTAATGGCTATGTCGCTGGACTCCCATGTAGTCGACCGTGGTTCGTGTCCCGGACCCGGTGGCTTAAAAAACTCACGCCGGGCGCGTGTGCGTGCGTGCCCAAGATCCCGAGAGGAGAACGGAGGAGAAGGGATTGCGGCGTGACCATCCCCCCTGGGGGGTGATTTCTCGCTTTCTGTCTCTATGTCTCTCTCTGTCTGTCTGGCGAGCGCACGCGCCCTACAGTGAAAATCTCTCCAAAAAAAAAAAGTATTGGACCCAGGATTTGTACACTTTTAAGAAAATGGATTATCCTTACCAAAGATAACTTCAAATTAGAGTGGTTTCATTAAGGACATTTTAAAAAATTATTTTTGCTATAGGGCACATGTGCTCTCTGGAGAGAAATGCAGAGAGAGACAGAGAAAAAGAGAGAGGAAAATGAGAAAGAACCGCCCCCCCCCGCCCCGAGGAGAGATGACCACCCTGCAGTCTCTTCTCCTCCATTCTCTTCTCAGGATCTCAGGATTCTGGGCATATACACACATGCACTAGGTATTTTTGTTTTCGTTAGAGAGAGATTTTTGCTATAGGTCACATGGGCTCACCAGAGAGAGATAGAAAGTGAAAAATCATCCCCCCCAGCAGGGAGAGAAAAGGGAGAAACCCCCCCCCCCCCCAGGGGGATGAGCATGCCACAATCCCTTCTCCACCATTCTCCTAGGATTTTGGGCATGAGTTTTAAGCCACTGGGTATGAGACTTGAACCATGGCTAGCTGTGGGAGTCCATTGACGTCCCCATTACACCATCTGCTGGTCCCCTTGGTGTGTTTTTTAAGCCACAGCCCAGGACTCCAACCGTACAGTTGGCCATGTGGGATCCAGCGTCTCAACTACCATACCACCAGTTGGCCCCATTGAGGAAATGTTAACCTAGATAAAATTGTTCACTTTTGAGGCACACTAGAAAAAGAATACAGGGAATGAGCAAATACTGATGCTTTCAGTCAGAGAGTGCATGCATGGTTCAATCATGGGAGACTTAGGGAGGTTACTGTGCAGCTGTGTGGAGGATGGATTGGATGGCAAAACTAGTGGACACAGGGAGACCAAAGAGGAATCTACTGCAGCTGCTTCTAACTGGCCAGGCAGCTGTTTCTAACAGGCCAGGCAGCAGACCTTGAACTTCTACAGGCTGGGTTAGGGGATCCACACTTATCCTCAAATCCTTGACAACCAGGTAGGGACAGGGCCACTTGCTTGTGATTTATAAATGCCCATAATCCAGATGGATTTATCTTCCCCATCAGAAAAATCGCTCAAAATAGACTCCTATATTTCTTCTTCTGATATACTCCTGTATTTCTTCATCCGACTGTGTTGCTTTATGAGTCGCAGAGTTGCACATTGCCGAAGGTAGTGCATGTTGTTTGCTCTGCAAGAGGCTTGGGGGTTGTTCGTGATTCTTTGGAAAGCTTTCTTTTTTTTTCTTAGCATTTTCAGATCGACTCACCAAAACATCTTGAAGCAGAAAATGAAATGTGAAAAGCATCTTCTCCTTTAAGTTCTTATGAGCTTTTCAACACCTTTTGCTCTAAAGAGCATAAAAAAAATGGGTTAATGGCCAAATTAAGCCGTGCCAGCCAGGCAGACATTGTCTGCATCTGCGGAGGAAACATCCACCCACTGTTTACCATTGTGCTTGCCTGCGATATGCTTACAATTATGTAGGGGATCCAGCAACAAAAGAAAATAAGTCACTAGAAATAGATGAAAGGTACCATTGTATTCAGGAGCAGGGGTGATACACATTTCAAAACGTCCTGTTTTCTGCTCTGAGGAGGAGAGGAACCAGGTACATGCATAGTGTCAGCCATACCCTAAGACTGAGTAGTGTTACTATCCGAAAATGTTTCTCTTGAGATCTTTGAAGACATTTATCATTTTTTTGGCTCTTCTTTTCAGAAAAGGCAATACTTGGCTCCATCTTTCTTAGTAATTGACTTCCAATACTTTGTAGCCAACTGACTAAAAGTTGTTTTTAACTGCATTCTCCCTACTGTACTTTTTTAAAAATAATTATTTTATTTATTTATTTTTCACTTGAGTTTTTCTAGAGAAAGACAGAGAGAGGGAGAGTGAGAAAGCAAGCCACCAGGTCCAGGAATTGAACCCTGGTTGGCTATATAGAATTTCCAGCACCTAAACCACCATGCCACCTGCTGGCCCCCTCTCTACTATATTTTATAACACTAGATATTATTTCTCTTATCTATCTGTAATTTTGTTTCTGTTCATCAAGATCCTTTTTTAAACTTTTTTGATTATTTATTTAATTTTATTAATTATTATTATTTAATTTACCAGAGAGAGAGAGAGAGAGAGAGAAAGTGAGAAAGTAAGCCATCAGGTCCAGGATTTGAGCCACAGACAGCCATGTAGAAGTCCAATACCTTAACCATTACACCACCTGCTGGCCCATAACATCTTTTTATCTGCTACTCCCCTTTTCTCCCTCCCCCTGCATCCTACACAGCTTCTTGAAGTCAATGTTCATTTCTCTGCTTCTATGAAGTCAGATAAAATAGCACTTATAGTCACGAGATGGTCCTGGTAGTAAAATTGAATTCAAGACATAAAAACTAAACTAAAAATGTCATATCAAGATCAAGTACTCAAGATTATCATACATTTTCTTAAGGCAGTTATATAAATTCCAGCTCCACATATATTCATTGCCCTCTAGAAGAGTTAGAGTTTTTTTTTTTTTTTTAAGAAAACATTTGACTTTAAGATCAACATGGCTTATATAGACATGAATCTGTAATGTATTTATTTGACATTTTTAACACCTTACATTGGTGGGGGCTAAGGTATCCCCTAAGTGATTCAGTTTTCTTATAGGATAAACAAATATACAAACACCTTAACAGCAAGTATCAAGATAGGAAAATCTATACAAACAATGCTTTTTTAGAACAGTAAATAGGAGCTAGCCAGTGGCATGCTGGTTAAGGTGGCTGCATCCACATGGCTTGCTTTGTGATCTGAGTCCCAGACCTGGCAGTTTGAGAAACACCATGGGCATGTGTGCATGTGTGCCTGACATTCCCCACCTTCCCCTGCCCCATAAAAAAACCTGTAAATAGTAACCATGATACATTACCCTTTCATTCAAGAACACTGAGAAATGAAGATCAGTTGGGGCTGGCTTATAGCCTCTTGGTTGAGGGAGCAGGATCCCACATGGCCAACCAAGGCTCAAATCCCAGTCTGGTAGCTTGAAGAACACACCGGGCATGTGTATGTGCATGCCCCAAATCCCAGCAGGATGGCAAAATAGAAGAGGGATTGCAACATGACCGTGCCCCTTGGGTGAAGGGATGGCTTTTCTCTCGTCTTTTTGTGGTGATCTCAGGAGTCCACATGCCCTCTAATTATATATATATGAAAGAAAGAAAGAAAGAAAGAAAGAAAGAAAGAAAAGAAAGAAAAGAAAGAGAACAAAAAATAAAAATCACATTGAAAAGCATCTTTCCCTTAAAACAGAATACCAGGAAATAAACACATTTGGGACTACTTCTTTTGGGTATTATGTATAATAGGGAAATAACATTTATTTAAAGATGTGTATATGTGTGTATGCATGAGTGTTTGTGTATTTTAAAAGCAACGATAGTAAGATCTGTAGAAAGCAATCACTTCATGTCTTTCCTCTTTTTCTCTTTTGCCTCCCTCCTTTTCTTTGGTCTACCTCTCTCTGTTCTTGTTTGTTTTCTGGTCTATTGTGATTTTGGTTGTTTGCCCTTTTCCTTCCATTCTCCTTGTATATACTTCCTTTTCCTTTTTCTTTCTCATGATTTTTTTCTTCTCTTTCCTCTTCAGATTTTTTAAAAGAATTAATGATTTATTTATTTAATTCTATTTGTTGTTGTTGTTATTATTATTATTATTTTAATTTGACCAGAGACAGAGAGAGAGAGAGAGAGACAAAGGGAAAGTGATGAGGCAAGCTACCTGGTCTGGGACTTGAACCATCGTTGGCCATGCGGGAACCCAGTGCTGTTAACCAGCATGCCACCTGCTGGCCCCTCCCCTCCAGATTTAAAAAATGTAGCTTCATATGCAATCTAACTAGTGACTATTTCATTAAATATTAAATTAAATAGTTATTCAGTATTTTATGCAAAATTTTTAAATACATGACTATAAAATTAAAAGATTAAGACCTCAATAAATTGGATTTTTTTTTCCTGTCTGTCACATTTTGCATTATGTTTGCAGACAATGATTCTATCTTCTTTTTCCTTCTTTCGATTTTTTGCCATAGCTCACATGCAAGCACTAGAGAGACAGAGAGAGAGGGAAAGTGAGAAATCACCCGCTGGTGATCATGGCCATGGAGGATGGCCGTGCTGTGGTCCCTTCTCTTTCACTCTCCTCTTGGGACTTTGGGCAAGCACACATGAGAAACTAACATGTTTTTCAAACTGCCAGGTCTGAGACTCGAACTGCAGAGTTGACCATGTAGATCCAATGCCTTACCACCAGCCCACCGGATGACCTCAATTCTACCTTTTTTATTCAAATACCAGGAAGTAAACACAAAAGGAAAGTATAAAATTACTATTTAATCAAAATAAATTATGATGAGATTTTAAAACAAAATGTCAGTGATATTGTTTCTTTTATCTTTATATGGTCAAAGAGCACAAGTATAAAACATTTACCCATATATGTCACCTTCAGTTCAGAAGAAATAGGGACATTATAGAATCAAATGCTTGGTGACAGGAAATATAACAATTACAAGAAAGTTTCTAGGAAAAATGGTGTCTGCAGATCAAAGCCAAACGTTTGAAATACTAGCAAAGCATGGTAACTTCAAAGGTTGTTCTCTGCACAGCTGCGAATCTACTTTAGGTATAAAGCTTGCAAGAACCTGAGCATCCTAAAAACATTCCAGATTAACTTCCCAGTTTGACAGAAAGCAATTAAAGGCCCTGAAAAAAGATGATGGTTTGGAATCTAAAGCTCAGAAATTCATTTTAAAAATATTCCTTTCTCAGGGAATCCTTTCTCAGATTAAAGTATGATTGGACTCTTTAACATTTTGTTCAGAAAGTGAGTTTAATAAACCATGAATATTCTAATGATAAAGAATGACAGATGCCAGCGGGATTCAAATTTGTAAATACCTGAAATACCGAAGGTTACCTGCATAATAACTGGTGCCCTTTCCTTCTGCTGCACAGAAGACTCACTAACTCCCCACCTCTTGCATTACTTCTGATCAAATTGCATCAAAGTTGTTTCATGATCATCTTCCCTCTAACTGCTTACTTCTTGAGATTTCTTCAGCATGCTCGGAGGAGGACATCTTTATTAAAAATAGACTGGGGTGCAGATGAAGTATTGTTTGGAAGTGACATACAAATACAATATTACTTTTGTATCAAAGTGGAAGGAATGTTAATCCTCTTTGAACAGTCACATCAATCTCTTCTCTTCCTTTGTCTCAGGGATGCCATTTTTATTTCTACAAACCTCAAAGTTATTGACCATGCTGTGCCATGCTTTTTTTTTCTTACATGAATTCCTTTCCTGCCAAATGTTAATGTTGATTTTAGTGTACACTGTGGTCTTCTTCCTTACTTTCACTTATGATGCAACTCATATGTTGTCCAACAGAAATTCATCAACGAGGTAAATTGTCCTTATGATGTCCTTTCATTCTTCCATGAGCACCAAGAATCTATTCCTATGCTTGTTTAGGGTTGACTTGAGACTTCCTCTTATGTCGAGAAAACTTTTGAAGAGCAGAGCCATGTCCCACCTACTTGAACATTAGCAAAAAAGTGAAGCAGGGCCATGCCAGAGACTGGATTCCAATTTCTGAGACTGGGTCCGGGTCCTGCTCAACCCCAGCTGAGAGGATCCATCACCATGTTTAAAATTCTCCCTTTCATTGTCAAGTAAATCCAGAACTGCTTTCATGTCCTATTTGAAGGTTGATGTTTAATCCTCACAATGCCCAAAAAGTAAAGGTGTAATCAATCAGTATCCTGTCTATCTTACTATGTCATGGCATTGCTAATAGAAATACCTGAGATTAGAGAATTTAAGAGATTTGACTCAGTTCTGATGGCTTGGAAGTTCAAGGCATTACAAAATAGCAGAAGGTATTAGGTCATCAGGAAAGTCATGACAGATTTTTCTATGCAAAAATGTGTTATGACTTTCCCAACGACCCAACAGAATTTTTAGAAGAGCAAAATGTGATCTGTGTCCATGTGTCTTTTTTTCCACTGTTCTGGTCTCATTCTTTTTTTTTTTTCTTTTGAGAGAGATTTTTGCTATAGGGTACGTGTGCTCGCAAGAAAGACAGAGAAATGGAGAGATAGAAAGTGAGAAATCACCCCCCA